CGGCAACCGCGCTGCCGCTGCTCTCCCGGCTCTGCTCGACCGTTCGCTCGCTCTCATCCTGAATACCCGCCCTTCCTGACCCTAGAACCACATATGGGATAGGGGCTTTTGCACGATCCAGCCGGCTTGACTATTTTGCTGCCTCTCTGTTCAGAATGGTTTGCCTGCTCAGTCACCTTGTTTCAGTGTGTGCAGCTACGGTGCCAGCTCGCTCGTGCTTCGTCATGTTGTGAAGTTTGTTGTGTGGCAACAATCGGCTGGAAAAAGTGATATCGCTGGGCTTCGCCTTTAATCTCACGTCTGGCCTCGAGTCGCCGACTCGAGTCATCTGGGAGGCCACCCTGTACAACGCAGTGCTACTACACTGTTCTCAACCTCTGTAGTGCTGTCGCTCATAGGCCTCCCGTGAGTGCTGAATGTTCTGCCAAGCGCCCTTCTCCGTCGTGGGCGCTTTGGCTCAAGTCTTCCCAGTCCCTCCCACCCTTGGGGGCTTTTGCACGATCCAACCGGCTGGACTATTTTGCTGCCTCTCTGTTCAGAATGATTTGCCTGCTCAGTCACCTTGTTCAAGTGTGTGCAGCTACGGTGCCAGCTCGCTCGTGCTTCGTCCTGTTGTGAAGTTTGTTGTGTGGCAACAATCGGCTGGAACAAATGATATCGCTGGGCTTCGCCTTTAATCTCACGTCTGGCCTCGAGTCGCCGACTCGAGTCATCTGGGAGGCCACCTTGTACAACGCAGTGCTATATATATATATATATATATATATATATATATATATATATATATATATATTCTCATACGCACCTCTCCGAGGGAGTAGAGCTCAGAGGGGATTCGTGCGTCCGTGCGTGCGTCCGTCTTTGATTTTAATGGCCGTCTCGCTCGGGACATCCTCGAAATTCTGAAAATCGGTGGCACCCCTCACGCAGATCGTGAAGGAGAGGTCCAAAAACACATGGGAATTACAACCTTTTAACATAACACCTTCAAAAACAAATTGTAATTTCAATAATTTTGACCCCGATTCTCAGAGAATGGCGGTTTCGCCTGAGACATCCTCCCAAAATCGAGCCCCAGACCCCTCCTCGGAGCCTCCTGGGGGCCTCCTGGAACCTCCTGGGGCCTCCTGGGGCTTTCTGGACCTTCTGGTACCCCAGACCCCGCCTCGGAGCCTCCTGGAGTTCTCCTGGGCCTGCTGAGGCCGCCTGGGGCCTCCTGGGGCTTCAGAACTACATGCACACACAGAAACACAAATCACGCCCAACACATCACACGCTAGACAAACATAACATACACACACAACACCGACAACACAAAAAAAGCACGCACCACACAAAGCACACATCACACACACAACACTCACAATCCTGGGGCCTCCTGGAGCCTCTTCTGGTATCCAAGTCGGGCCTCCTGAGGCTTCCTGGGGGGCCCTGGTACACACATCGCAAGGTGTGGCAACCCCACTTGCGCTCGAGTGCGACTTCGCTGTTGCATGTCACTCCTGCTTCAAACGCCCCTTCAGCTTGTTGTATGAGCCTGGGCACACACGTGCCACTTGTATATATATATATATATATATATATATATATATATATCCGGGCCTTGGGGGGTTCCAGGCCCACCGCCTGCCCAGGCGCCACGAACCAGAGGAGCAAGAGGTCATGAAGATGAAACGTCGCGAGGTCTCCGAGATTTCCAGGATTCCGCAGATTTTCTGATGTTCCACAGGGGCTGCAGAAACAAGGCCGCTAGATGTTCTGGAATGGCTGTGACGCATCCTGAGCCCGTCACATCATGACATCATTCCCGTCGCAGTGAAGGTTTTGGGGTTGACTGCCCGGCATCAGTCAAAGACGTCCCGGAGGAGGTGCGTCGGGATGCCCTTGCGCCGCGCCCGGCCCCTCCTGGGGCTTGGTCCCCATGGCCCCCGGGCCCGTCAACATAATGATTCGGGATGGGGAGCCTGTCCCAGGGAACTCCGTGGGGTCCAGGACTTCCCACCAGCCAGGAGATGGGAAGACACCGACCCCCACATTCGGTGCTCACGAAACGAACCATGGGCGTTTGCGAAACGCCCCTGCCGTGTCCCACCCCTGCCCACTTGCGCGTTTCCGACAGGGCTTCGCTGGCCGGCGTGCTTGTGTGATGAGGTTCGGCCTCTGAACGGGGATCCCCACTCCTCCCTGCCAAGAGGGGAGGGAGGGAGAGGCGCGCGAGGCGCGCGCGGATGGCAGCGGCCAGCGCCAGGGGGAGCAGGAGGGAGGCCAGCACCCCCCCCCCCGTGCCGCCTGCTGCAAGAGTGACGAAGGTCCTCCAGCACCCCGGCCCCGCCGCACTCCCCATGCTCGGGGCTCAAGAGACGGGGGTCAATGCAAACGGGGGGTCAGCCAGGGCACTGGATCCTGCAGGATCCTGCAGGATCCTGCGAAGACCCCCGCTGGCTGATCCGGGTTGGCGAGCCGCTCGTGGCCGCGAGGCGGCCGCGCATTTTGGTGGACCCGGGCTTGCGAAGGCCTGCGCTGCATTTTTTTTCCCTGCTGCATTGCAGTGTTTGGTTTCCTGCCGACCCGGGTCTGCTTGACCCGGGCCAGCAGGCCTCCGACAGGCAAAGGAGAGGAAACGAGTCGGGGGTGGACAGAACCCTCAACAGTGACACGTCGATTAGTGAATTGTCCGTTTTCGGTTCTCGAGAGGGCGCCGCGGCCGCTATTTTCAAGGCTTGCGCCCGCCAGGTTTGGGCCCGAGGTCGTTCTCACTAAACCACGTTTTAATGGAGGATGACGATTAGTAAATGACTGGGGGTCGTGTTCACGCGGCGGCGCCCCGGATGACGATTAGAAAAAACTGGCCGCGGGCTGGAAAACTATGTTTTAAGTCGTTCTCCGCCAGTCAGAACATGGTGCAGAAATAGCAGAAAGGTATGCTTTTAATTCGTGCTCTCCCTTATTTTTTATTTATCGTCATTCCGCATTACTACTACCCTCGTCAAAATCAACCTCAACAGTTGCTGGCACGTCATGTCGATGTCGGCGCGCCCTTCAATGTCGACACGCCGCCCCTTCAATGTCGGGGCGAGGGCAAAGATAGTCTGACCGAAGTTGACTCGAAAGTTTGACGTCGACCGACATTGGAGGGGCGGCGCGTGCAAGTACCCCGCACTCATCGATACTCGGTCCCAGATCTTCCGACAAGCAGTTCAACCACGTCAGACATTTTTGAGGTTAATTGTGACGAGGCTTGTACTGGGATGACCGTGGCGGGTTCTAAATGGATAGGGGCTTACAAGTGGATGCCAAGGTGGGTTATATCTGGCCCAGCCTGGCTTATAAGTGGGTTACAGGTGCCCTAAGTAGATTAAGGGGGGTCAACGATCTGGGCTAGGTGGGCTCCGCCCACGTAGCGGAGTTAGCGACCCCTCCTAAGCTACCCAGGGCACTCGTAACCCACTCATAAGCCAGGTTGGGCCAGATATAACCCACCTTGGCATCCACGTGTGACCCCCCTATCCACTTAGGAACCCCCACGGTCATCCCAGCAGAGGGAGGTCTCTCCACCCCCGAGCGAGGAGCGCGCCGCACGGGCAGGCTCGGGGAGCGGCGCCCCCCGCCCACGCGCGCGGCCGACCGCGCGCACGGCCCACGGAGAGCGGCGCCGGTGGCCGCGCCGGCGTGGCACGCGACGTCCGCCGAGCGGAGAGAGCGCCTCCGGCAAGAGTCGGGGGCGGAAAAGAGGGGGGTGATGACTAGGGGGGGGTGGATATCATGTCGCGGCGCGGGCCATGAGATCTCCCCAGATCTCGTGGCGCCTCGTCTTGTTTCATTACGTCCCTGGTTCCCCCGCTGGGCCGCGCACATGCCGCCGGCCATGATTTGCGCCCCCCCCTCTTGAACACCCCCCTCTTTTCCGCTCCCGAAAGAGGCTGTCGTTCCGGGCGCGCCCGTGGAGGAGCGCCCTGTACCAGCCTCGAACGTATCCCTATCCCTAAGATTGAGACGCCAAAAGGCGATGACGATCTCAGGGATCCGCCCTCAAAAAAGAAGGGGATCCCTAAGATTGGCATCGTGATGAGGAGGTGCCCAGCATAGGGATAGGGATATGTTCCAGGCTGGTAAACCCTTGGCACGCCCCCAAAAGCAGGGCTCGAGCTGAGCGGTGTTTTGTGGCGATGTCGTGGGCCGTTGTCGTCTTGGCCTCGTTTTTTGCGGCCAGTGTGGAGCGAAGGCAGAGCCACGGATGACGAAGACAAAGCGAAAACGGAAAACATTGTTTAATTCGAGCCCTGCCCAAAAGCCATCGACACCGTCCTGCTCTTATCTTACCTCGAGTGTCGCCCAGATTGGACCGGCATCTTGCCTCATTATGCCATGCAGCTGTGCCCTCTCGCCAACCCCAGTCGGCGTTGAAGTCTCGTCCCCGTGGACAGAAGGCTCTGAGCTCGCATTTGCTCACGCTGTCGCCGCCGTGCCGTTGTTCAGGCCTCTCGGGACAGTACTATTGGGTTGATCTCAGCTCTTCTGCACGAAACCTATCGACGCACGGCACATGGACGTTCGAGCGATGGCAACTTTTTTGTTCCCTGTCGGCCTCCCGCGTTCTGCCGTGCCCCAATTCGCTCCCGGCGCGTCCTGCCCGTTGTCCGTGCCTGCACTCCTCCTGCTTCTTCCGTCCTCCTCCTCCTCCTCCTTTCTCCTTCCTCCTCCTTCCCTCCCTCCGTCCCTCCTCCTCCACCTCCTCCTCCTCCTTTCTCCTCCTTCCCTCCTCCCTCCCTCCCTCCCTCCCTCCCCCCTCCCTCCCTCCCTCCCTCCTCCCCCTCCCTCCCTCCCTCCCTCCCTCCTTCCCTCCTCCTCCTCCTCCTCGTCCTCCTCCTCCTCCTCCTCCTCGTCCTCCTCCTCCTCCTCCTCCTCCTCCTCCTCCCCCTCCTCCTCCCTGCTGCGGCTGACTTGCAAAGTTCCCTCTCGGTTCCCGCCGCTGCCGTGGTCGGCGCGCGCTCGCGGCCCAGGGCGCGTGCTCCTGGCGGTGTTCGTGATGCTGGTCCTCTGGTCGCACTTCTGCGGCCCTGGCCCCAGGCGCGCTATCAGCATGGGGCATGGACACAGAAGGTCGGAGGTCCGCGCGGGATTCTGAGGCCCAGCACGCCGGGCGCGCCCTGCGCGACAGACGACGGAGTAGGGGTGTGTGACAGCATGGCTCTGCGCGGACCCAGGACATCCGCGCGGCCTCCGCAAGTAGACGTTCGTACATGTTGTCGTTGGAGGAGAAGTGGTCGCACCAGTGCGCAGCCCCCCCCCCGCGTCTTCGGAGTGGGGCAGCGTCCCTGGGAGCTCGCCCAGCGCTTCGCTTCGCAGGCACGCTGCACGCACGGTGCCAGGCGCCAGACTGCGATCTGGGCCTCGAGGGTAGAGGCTGTCGCAATCCAGTAGCAGCGACCTCGTCTTGGCGCCCTGCAGCAGCGGGAGCCTTCCTCCCCTGCTCCTCACCCCCAGCCGGGAAGAGCTGGGTGAGAGTGGTAGGATCTGGCTCGCAAGATCTGTGCCCGCTCTCCTTTTCTCGCAGGGTGGCAGCGCGCAGTCGCGCCCGGCGGGAGTCGCCCCCCCCCCCCCCCCCCCCCCCACGCGCCCGACCGCCTGGCCGGGCCGGGACGGAGGCGCCAGCCACCTCGAGTGCCCAAGGCCACGCCGTTCCCTGTCCCTAAAACAGGGCTAGGATCGGGATAAATCGCTCCAGAGCGTTCCGGAGCGCTCTCAGAGCGTTCCGGAACGCTCTGGAGCGGCCGCGGCGCCCAATACATCCTCTAAACCCGCCGATTCTCAGAGATGTCGAGTTATCCCGATCCGATTTTGTCCCGATCTTCGCGACGTTTTAGTCCCACCAGTCGCCCACTCCACTCGCACCTCCATCCTTCCCGCACGCCCCCCTCGCCTTTTCTTCTCCCCGGTGTGCGCCTCCTCGGTGAGCGCCTCTGCCTCCGCACGCCCAGCGCCCGCCTGGAGGGCCCCTACAAGACGGCGGGGGGGCCCCTGGAGGGTTTCTCCGAAGGGCTTAGGCGACCGTCCTCCTCCTCCTCCTCCTCCTCCTCCTCCACCACCTCCTCCTCCTTCTCCTCCTCCTCCTCCTCCTCCTCGGGTCGCCTGGGGCCCTGGGAGAAACCGTGCACGGGCCCCCTGAGAAGGCGGGGGCCTTCTGGGAGAAGGGCCGGGAGGTTGGAGGAGGGCCTTCTCGGAGAGGAGGCCTTCTCAGAGGCCGGGGGGGGCCTCTGCGAGCCTGCCACCCGCCCTCTGGGAAGCCCTCTCGCGCGCCACCCCCGCGTGCACGCCGCCAGTCGCATGGCCACGAGATCCCAGGCGCGTCCGCTGCCCCTGGCCAGGCCCCTCCTGGGGCCAGGAGCGGTCCATGCGCCTTCTCTCGCTTGCCAAGGGAGGCATCCAGCTGGCACAGATTTGGGAGCCGCCCTTCGCTTTGGAAGCGTGCCCTCGTGTCCTTCGCGCTCAGGCTCCCAACCTTGGCGTGCTCGTCGTCCTGGGCTTTCTCCACGGGGCAGCGGACATTTGGCGAAGGGCCTCATGCTCTTGACCCACGCCCGCTTGGCCAATGTCTCCGCTGTGCACACCGATCGTGGTCCCAGGGTGGGTGGGCCTCCGTCCCCGAGCCTCGGCCGTCGCCGCCTGAAAGTCGTCCCCGGATGTGTGTGGATCTCGTCGCCCCAGGTCGGCCCCCGGTCCCCAAGGCGGTGGGCTCGCTGAAGGCGTAGAAGAAAAAACGCCATAAACATAAACTCTTGGCGCTCCGCGCGGGTTTCTTGGATCCGCGCTGGGCCCCCCCAGCGGCGCCTCCGGCGCCGCCCCTGGCGCGCTCCGCGCGCCAGGGAGGGGGGGTCCAGCGCAGATCCGACACATCCGCGCGGAGCGCCAACAGTTTATAGTTATGGCGTTTTTTTCTTTTTCTAAGATCGGCCCTCGGTCCCCAAGGCGGTGAGCTTACTGAAGGCACCCATGGGTGCCTTCGCATCTTCTGCCTTCATCTGCATATGTGTGCCTCCATGGAGCGACCGCTTCCCTCGGGGAAACTGCTGCCTGGAGGGACGTACTTGCCTTCAGTGGTTTTCCTCGACGTCAAGTGACAAGTCGCCGAGCATGCGCACACGGTAGGGAACTTTGGCTCAGCGTGTCGCTCCGCGGGTTTTGGCCCACCACGCTTCGGCGCGACGCGCTATCCACTCCCCGGTCCCGAAGCGTCCACGTCCCGAGCCGTCCGAGCCTCCCGCCCCGCGGAGCGGAGCGACACGCTATCCGCTCGCACGGGATAGCGTGTCGCCGGGACCGCTGCGGCGACACGCTGGGAAAATCCCCCGACCGTAGCTTGACTGCACCCCCGACCTCAAAATCCGAGAATCGAGGGTCGACGATCGAGGATCGAGGCTCGAGGATCGACGATCGAGGATCGAGGCTCGAGGATCGATCATCGAGGATCCTAGCCTGACAGTAGATCTCGTCACCCTACAGATCTGTCCTCGGCCCTACCCCCAGCGGCCCCAGTCCCCCGATATCATGTTTTTTCATAACCTCGACCCCCAGAGGTCTGGACTTCTCCGAGACCGCTTTTTCATCCCGAGTCGGTTTTGTTGACGGTCCCGAGGCCCAGCGAGGGCCCCCAGAGGCCGAAAATACTTGTCGGTTGTTGAAAGTCAGTGTTTCTGGATTCCCACATCCACATCTACGTTGGGCGACTTCCTGCTTCAAGGATCGAGTGGTGCTCCCTCTTCCTTCGTCTTCAGGGGGCGGGCGGATGCCCAATCCAAATCCAACGCCTTCCTACCACATGGCTCTACCAACTTCTTCCGACCGACGGGTCGGGAGGAACCTTGAGTCGGGCACGTCCCTCTACAGGAGGAATATTCATGAACAGCGAAAACATAGTCTAGGGATGGTGTTGCGGCTACTTTTCGGGACTTTTGTTGCGTATGGTTTGACTCTTTCTCAGTGCTGTTCCTCCCGAAGCCGCCTGTAAGAGCACATGCCCGACCTCAGGAAAAACCCGCCGCCGTGACTCTTCTGCCCGGCTCCCAGGCGCCTGGGGGCGGCACCCGCCCCCCCCCCCCCCGAGCGCCGCCGGCTCCCTGGACGCGGACGAGGCCGAGGCCGATCGGCACCCCCTGCATCCTTCCCAAGGGCTCTGACGTTCCGTCCTACGTCAGCCCTGACCACCAGGAAGAGCGTCGAGTCGAGCACCAAGTCGGAAGCTAGAACATAGACATTGCCAGTGGCGGGCTGCTCTTCAATCGCAGGACTTCTTGGGGGTCGGGGACGACGCTGGGGCGATCGAGTGCCAAGACTGCCGACGCTGTTTCGATACTTTTCGGGGTGCTCGAAATTATATTACCGCTTCGCTCCTTCCGCCGGCCCGTATTGTGCCATCGCAGGCGTTTGCTTGCGCGTTCGTGGCCTCTTGGAGCCTCGTGGGGGCCGTTTGGGGGCCTCCTGGCGCCTCTTTTTGGCCTCTTGGGAGGATCGTGGGGCCACCAGGGGGCCTCCAGGGGGCCTCTCTTGGGGGCTTCTTGGGGCCTCCCGAGGGCCTCTTGGGGCGCGGGCGGCAGGCTCGACTTGGTGGTGCATGTTCCCCCTCTTGGGCCCCCATTGGGGCCGTCTTGGGACCTTTTTGGGCGATCTTGGGCGCCTCTGGGGCCGTCTTGGGGCCCTCTTGGGCCCTCCAGGGGCCATCTTGGGCCCTCCGGGGGCCCTCTTAGGCCTTCTTGGGACTCTATTGGAGGCCTCTTGGGCCCTCTTGGGGCGATATTCGGCGCCTCTTGGGCCGTCTTTGAGCGTCGGGAAGCCGAACAGATGAGAACGCCACCCCCCCTCAAAAACCGGAGGGAAATCTATGGTTTTGCCTCCTGGGGCTGGGGCCCTCTTGAGACGCTTCTTCGAGGCCTCTTTGGGCGTCTTGGGGGCGTCTGCGGCCGTCTGGAGGCCATCTTGGGCGTCTTGGAACGATCGGTCGGCGACTCGGAGCCCTCTTGGACCGTCTTGTGGACTCTTGGGGCCTTCTAGGAGCGTTCTGGGGCGCCTGAGAGCCGCGCCCCGAAGGAAAAACCATCTCTGGGTCGGAACTCCCGAGGTACTGTTCGTCCAGGGACTCTCAGGAGCCGCCCCACGCGCGCGAACTAGAAATATTGTTTACCAGTAGCCGGAGATCTTAGCACGCCTCTGGCCCGTTGGGCCGGCGAATTTCTGGGACGTGGTCCTTAAGTACGATGGGGGCAACATAACCCAAGGGTGCCCTTGCAACCTTGCCTCCTCGGCTCCTCCTTGGTCGCTTTCGCTGACCGCGCCCTGCCTCGACGAGCTCCGAGACGGCCCTCCGAGGCCCTTGCCTCTCATCGTGCGTCCTTGATTATGCGGGCCGACTGCACCCACGCCTTCCGACCGACGGGCAGGGACAAACCTGCCGCCGTGCTTTCTTCCCGGCTCCCGGGCGCCTGGGGTTAAGTCGGGCATGTCCCCCTTCAGGAGGAGTGCTCAGAAATATGTTCAAGATCGTATGGGGACGATGTCTCTGGCATTCTTGTATTCTCTTTGCACCTCTTGGGGCTCTTGATCGTTCGTCCAGAATCGGCCTGCAGGGGGACATGCCCGACCCAAGCCTGGGGCGGCACTCGCCCCCCCGAGCGCTGGCAGCCCCCTGGACGTGGACGAGGCCGAGGTCGAGAGCCGCCGCGACGCGCCCGGCTCCGTGCCGCCGAGCCTGCCGGGCGCGCCCCGCGCCTGCGCGTGGGTGGGGAGGGGCCTCCCTCGCCTCCTTCGCCGCCCCTCTCCTCCCGTCTCCCCCTTCTCGGCCTCCTCCTCCTCCTTCTCGGCCTCCTCCTCCTTCTCGGCCCCCTCCTCCTCCTCCTCCTCCTCCTCCTCCTCCTCCTCCTCCTCCTCCTCCTCCTCCTCCTCCTCCTCCTCCTCCTCCTCCTCCTCCTCCTCCAGTCCTCCTCCTCCTCCTCCTCCTCCTTCTCCTCCTCCTCCCTCTCCTCCCGGGAATGAGGAACAGGGGGGAGTGTGGGGGGTGGAGGGGTAGAGGAGGGCCTAGCACGTGGAGGACGGGGGGAGAAAGATGAAACGTCCATGGGGCAGGGCGGAGGCGACAGGAGGAGTAATGCTCATGGTGATGATGATGCTGCTGCTGATGATGATGATGATGATGATGAAGATGATGATGATGATGATGATGATGATGATGATGATGATGATGATGATGATGATGATGATGATGATGATGATGATGATGATGATGCTGGCGATGGCCATGCGGATGACGATGACGACGGCGACGATGACGAGCGATGGCAATGGCGATGACGATGACGACGCTGATGACGATTATGACGATGGCGACGGCGCTGGCGGTGATGTCGGCTGTGCTGTCGATGATGATAACATGGGGATGAGGACGATGCCGTCCTCATTTTCCTCCTCCTCCCGCACTCTCTCGCGTCCCCCCCTCGCCCTCCCCGCCCCTCCCCGCGCCCGTCGACTACGGCGACGGCGGCGACGGCTGATCGCGACAACGACTTGGAGGCTCCCAGGTGGCCCCGAGCTGCTATACGCAAAAGTGACCGTTCGCCAGGGTGCCCCGGCCGCGCGGTTGTCTGGGCGGCGCGGGTTGGCCAAGCCCCAAGGCGCGCCCTTCGTCGCATGCAGCCGCCAAGAATCCGCGCCCCAACCCTTGCCCAGGGTCATTATTGCGCGCGGTCGACCCCGAACAGCCAAAACATCTGTTAAACGCCTTTGTACCCGGTCGCCGTCGACCCTTGATCATGGTTCCACAACGACCACGACGACGAAAAAGGACGGTGGAGGACGAGGAGGAGGAGGAGGAAAAGGAGGAGGAGGAGGAAGAGGAGGAGGTTGGGGACGAGAAAGATGAGAACGGGGGAGGATGAGGAGGGGGAAGGGATGAGGAATAGTAGGGAGCAAAGGGGGAGAAAGAGGAGGAAGAAAATGGAACAGGAAGAGGAATACTGATATTGAACATCGGGGATTGGGTAGACGAGGCATGAGGGACGACCTCGACCTGCGATCGTCGACCCAAACTCCGACTTTCAAACCTGTGCGCCGACCCTCGTTGGGGTCTGCCCGTTGCGGTCTGCCTTCGTCCTATACCGAGCGGTCCGTTGGGGGGGCGCGGGAGGGGCCTCGCTAGGCCCCCAGGGAGCTTAGGATTTGATCCAGCATTGCTGCACAAGGCAGTGAGGAGAGGGGGGGAGCAGGGGGGGGCCAGCCCATGCATGTGAATTTGCTGGAGCGCAGTGGTGAAAAGCGCGCGCTCTCTTCAGGGAAACGAAGCATGGCATACGCACAAGAGCTCGGAGGCCCGCGCGGATTTCTCTGATCCGCGCTGGACCCCCCTTCCATGGCGCGCGGGGCGTGGCGCCGCCAGGGGGCCCCAGCGCCGATCCGAAGAATCCGCGCGGACCTCCGAGTTGCTTTGCTTATGCCATCACTAGCTCCCCTGTCTCTTGCCTCGGTGACGACCACGACGACCCCCAGAGGTCTCGACCCCCTTCCCCGGGGCCGGCTTCTCCTCCTGAGTCGTCTTCTGAGGGTCCCGAGGCTCAGTAAGGGCCCCCCGAGGCCGAACAGAGCAAAGAACGGTCCGGCATGAACTTTTCATGCCTCCCTCCGTCAGAAGCCTCCTCCTTCGAGGAGGACGTTTTGGGGGAGGAGGAGAGGAGGAGGAGGAGGAGGAGGAGGAGGAGGAGGAGGAGGAGGAGCAGGAGCAGGAGCAGGAGCAGGAGGACGACGGTTTGGGGGAGGAGGGGGAGGAGGAGGAGGAGGAGGAGGAGGACTGGAGGAGGAGGAGGAGGACTGGAGGAGGAGGAGGAGGAGCAGGAGCAGGAGCAGGAGCAGGAGCAGGAGCAGGAGCAGGAGCAGGAGGAGGGGGTCTGCCCCGGTGCCGGCCGCGGCGCCCCCGCGGGCGGCCCGCAGGCTCCGTGGCCCCGTCCCAGCGGGCCTCGGCGCGCCCGTCCGTGGCCGGGCCCCCGGGCGCGCCCGCTCCGGCCGCACCGCGGCGGCCCGCCGCGGGCCCGCTGCAGCGGCAGCGCTCGGGATCTCTTCCCCTGCGGTCCTCGCCGCTCCTTTCCCTCCCTGGCCTCGGCCTCTTCGAGGGCATGCCCTCCTCCTCGAACCTCCTCCTCCTCCTCCTCCTCCTCCTCCTCCTCCTCCTCCTCCTCTCCTCCTCCTCCTCCTCTTCCTCCTTCCCCCTTCTTCCCCCTCCCTCCTCCTCCTTCTTCCTCCCCCCCTCCTCCTCCTTCTTCCTCCTTCCCCCTCCTCCTCCTCCTCCTCCTCCTCCTGCTCCTCCTCCTCCTCGTTCCGCCTCCCCGCTCGTCCTCGAGCCTCGGTCCCTCTCCACGGCGACGGATATTCCGGGGGGTCAGCGCGTGGGCGCAGGCGCTCCGTTTCCCCAGCCCAAAGCAGATAGATCCCGATCCTTGAGATTGCCAGGTCATCCTCGGCTTCGAGGTCCGAGGTCTCGGACGCTTTCGTCGGCGATCGGCGGGTTCCCAGACGCGGGGTGCGGTGCCGTCCAGAAGCTTCGCCTCGCCAGGAGTCGCCCAGGGGTGCCGGGATGGTCCCGCATGGCCGCCAGAGACCCGAGCTGTGATCCGAAAGCTGGGCGACGAGGATCACCGGGGGGACGGCGGTCAACGTTCTGGGCGTACTGACACCCAAGACGTCTCCGTGCCGCGGAGCAAAAGCACGGCGCAGCGTTCGTGGCAGGTGTCGGCCTCCTGGAGGCGCAGCGATCTTTCATGGCAGCGCAACGGCTATGTTGTCAAGCTCTGTATTGCCGCAGACAGATATTTGGCGACGGTGCCTCCTCAGAATGCCCTGGATGCGCAAGTTTGAGACTGGTGATTCTTATCGTGAAGGCCTCGCGCAGGCCTCACGGACGGTGCCGCCGACCGTGAAGGGGGACTACGACGAAAACGACGGTGGCGGTGGCGATGGCGACGACGTTGACGTGGGCCAGAGGGATGCTTCTTGGGGTCTCTTCGGAAGGGCCCCTGGGGAGGAATTCTGGGGCCTCTTGTGAGCCTCTTGGGGGCCTCTTGGGAGCCTTTTGTGGCCTCTTTGGGCTTACCGGGGGTCTCTTGTGGGCCTCTTGGGGCCTCTTGGGAACCTCTTGGGGCCTCCTGGGTGCCTTTCGGGGCCGAGGGCTCGAACTGTCCGTTCGGGTCCCCCGTCTGGGCACGCTCTTGGAGCCGTCTTGGGGGCCTCTTGGGCCGTCTTGGCGGCGTCGTGGGGTGTCTCAGGGGTCCTCTTGGACTGTGTGGGGGCCCTCTTGGAGGCCTCTTTGGCCGTCTTGGGGCCCTCCCGGGGGGCCTCTTGGGCCGTCTGGGAGCGGCGGGAAGCGGAAAAGGCTTTGAAAAAACCAAGGGGGGATCAGTGAATTTTGCCTCGTGGGGCCCTTCTCGGGAGTGCTCTTGGAGGTTTTTTGAGGGCAGTCTGGAGGGCGTGAAGGCGTTTTGGACCGATAGTTTAGATTGGGGGCCATCTTGGACCGTCTCGTGGGCCTCTTGGGGCATTCTTGGCTTGTCTTGGCATGTTCAGAGGCCCTGGGACCCAAGGAGGGGATGCGTATTTGACCCCCCGCCTCCCGGCCCCCCCCCGGGGATCGCCCCCCCCTTCTGGGATACCTCATCTATCACGTTTCCATGTCAATTGAAATCACCCCTTCAAAAACAGACAAAGGACAATTTCTTGGGTATTGCTCGTGGACTCCGCGAGCACGTTGAATTGTTTCTTGAAAGGGACTGCGGGAAGGGGGTATCGTATTGCCTGCTGTGCGCAGGGCCACCATCCGTGTCAACAAACGTACAACATGCACTTCGCGGCTATACAAGGATCATGCGCTGCCTCCCCGCGGTCACTTTGCATTGGCTTTGGGGAAAGACAATGGGGGTGCTGGAATATTGCTCGCTGTGTGCAGGCCCACAGGGCACCAGCGCGCAATCATCCCGCCCAGCCGCTGGCAATTTAGTTTGGTTTGCGAAACCCATGCGGCGGCGATTGCTATGATTGCTTGGCGCTGGCGGGCGCATGGGTGCGGCCCGCATGGTATTATTTTACAGGGATCGTGCCCCCCTTCCCTCAGCACGCGCGCAGGGAAGTTCGAATGATTGCGACATGCGCGCGCGCGCGAGGGGCCCATTCGGTCGCATGTGGCAAAACTGTTGGAAGCTTATGTCTGTTCTAAAGAATTCGCAAAGCGCGCAGGTTTTTCGCTGTTCAAAACCATGTTACAAAACCATGTGATTCGTTTGTTTCGGGACACCTGATTCTGGCATCCTTCAGAAGCCGACTTACAACTTTCGAAGAATTCCGCGCGCGACGACGCGCGCGTGTGCTTTTCGTCCCATCTGTTGCAAGGGATTGCTGACAACTGACAATTGTTGATGAACGAGTGTGCGCACATAGCGATTTTTTCAGAGGATGGTGGGTGGGGGAGCACAGCTTAGCTGGAACTGTATGAATTCATCCATAAGGATGAGGAGGAGGGGTGGGGGAAGAGGAGGCGGAGGAGGAAGAGGAGGAGGAGGAGGAGGAGGAGGAAGGAGAAGGAGGAGAGGGAGGAGGAGAGGGAGGAGGAGAGGGAGGAGGGAGGAGGAGGAGAGGGGAGGGCGAGGAGGAGGAGTAGGAGATGGAGGAGGAGGAGGAGGAGAGGAGAAGAGGGAGAGGGGGGGGGGGGGAGGGGAGGAGGGAGGCTAAGGAGGAGTTGGGGGAGGAGGCGATCCGCCGGCGGCGGCCGCGGTCGCGCCGCCGAGGTGCCGTCGCGGTTTGGCAGCGGGCCCTCGTCGCGCTGCCACAGCCCGCCGCGCCTGCAGGAGGAGTGCCGCTTCTCCAGGCCCTGGAGGAGGAGGAAGAGGAGGAGGTGGAGGATGAGGAGGATGAGGATGGTGATGATGAGGAGGAGGAAGAAGAGGAGGAGGACGAGGAGAACGAGGAGGATGGTGAGGACGAGAAATACGAAGAGGAGGAGGAGGAGGAGGAGGAGGAGAAGTTGGAGGAGGGGGAGGAGGAAGAGGATGAGGTGGAGGAGGAGGAGGACGACGAAGACGAGGAGGGGGCGGAGGAGGAGGAGAAAGGGGGGGGCGCTGCGACTAAAGTACACGCAGCTGCCACGAGCGCAACGAGCAATCCCTGGATCTCCGACGCTACGTTTTTGCCCATCCGGGCGTATCTCATCGACTTCGGCTCGTTATCGTCGTTCCTGGGGCCATCAATCACGAATGGTGGACGAACAATCTGCCCTGGGGAGGTGATCGAGGGCTGCTGGGGCCGCGGATGAAAGCAACCAGAACCTTCGGATACTGTCTGGCTGACTCGTTCTGAAGGGGCACCCTTGCAGTCTAACGGCATCATGAGGATGAGTATGTAAAAAGTTCCCAGGGTGCCCATTCATACTTGCCTCCCAGCCCAACCCTTGCCCTTATCATGGGCCCAATGTTAGAACTTAATTATCGGCGGTGGGCGAGGGGGGAGGAGAGAGAGAGAGAAGGCCTTCTCAAAAGGCGGCGTAACTTCTCAGAAGCCCTCGCGCTTTCTGAGAAGTATTTTGTGTCTTCCGGGAAAGCTTCGAAAACTTCTCAAGGCCGGGGGACGTCCGAGCCTTCTGAGAAGGCCCGCCCCTTTCCACTTCCCTCCGGTCGCGCCGCCTTGATTGGATTCGGCCCCAGTCCTACCCCAATCAGCCTTTCAAGCTTCGGTTTCCATTTGGGCGTCCAAGGGACTTACATCCTTACCACGCAGTGTTTTTACCCAGTTGCGCTGTCTGTTCTTCGTGATTTGGCTCTCCGCCGTTCGGGACGATCGAGATGGGTACGGAGCGAGCGGGCACAACGACCGACAGCAGTTCCTGCTCATTTTGACAGGACTCGCTGTCGGTGTCGCCGCGGATGGTGTCCATTGGAGACGGACGGCCACTTGCCTAACAGCGGCCGCTGTTTATTCTGGGCAGCGTCATGTGTTGGGCCTTCGGCGGAGAGGGCTGATGTTGCTGATCCACGTTATTGTGGCCATGAATTGAAATTGGAAAGACACTCTCTGGTCAGGTCCCACGATCTGACTGGATATCGATTCCGGCCGGCCCGATGCGATTCCGATGTCCGGGCGATAATTATCCGATGCGGCCCGATACGTGCTTGTCGCTTCGTTGCTATCATGTCGCGGCCGATCCGACTGGGTTCCAGTTCCATGCCGATGCAGCCCGTTCCGACGCACATCTGGGGTCGAACGAAAGGGGGGGAAAGGGAAAGGGGGGGGTACGAAATTTGCTGCGTGCAGCTGGTTTCGGCCCCGCCGCCGGGCCCATTCCTCTATACATGGGCGCCTCCCAGCGCCGGGAGGCGCCGGAAAAATTAGCTACGTGAGCTGATTCTCAAACCCCCCCTTTGCTATCACCCCCTTTCGCCCGGCCCGAACATCCGGATTCGATCCGACATCGAGGCGACGGCGTCGCCTCGAGGATCAGTCAGCGTCACGCTGACTGATCCTGCTGGTGGTCTCAGGGGGAGGAAAGAATAGGTGTACAGTGGAGACCCATACCAAGAAACACCCTGCTCGCCCCCAGGATGCCCTGGGTTTCCTGTATTTCGATGGTTTTACTATGGAAAGCGTGACGCTCATACATAAAATATCAATGGACGTCCTGGGATCTCAGGGTTTGATTTCTTGTGGAAGGTTTCTTGTGGTCGGGCCCCTACTGCCTACTGTATGGATCGCCGTCGAGAGACAACAGCTTTGGCACGACGCCGCAGCCCCTGAAGGCAGCGGAGGCAGCTTACATGCGGGCGTTCTGTGCCCAGGCTTTGGTGGTGCACAGCAGGCACACCACGACGACGTTGACGACGTCAACGACGGCGACGACGACGGCAACGACGACCGACGGACAACGGCGACAGCTACGAACGACCACGCCGAACGACGACGACGAAGCCCGCGACGACCGACGACTACAGCGACGACCGATGACGACCACGACTACGACGACGACTACGACGACGTCTGATGACGACTTCTTTGACGTCGACGACGGCGACGGCGGCGGTGGCGACGGCGAAGACGACGACGACCGACGGAGGACGACGAGATCGACGGGCGACGACGACGACAATTGATGGCCACGACGACGACGACGACCATGACGACGACTACAACGACGACCGATGACGCCCATGACTACGTCGACGACGACGTTGAACGATGTCGACGACGACGACGGCGGCGGCGGCGACGGCGAAGGCGACGACGACCGACGGACGACGACCACAGCGACGGACGACGTCCACGTCTGACGACGACGACGACGACGACAACGACGACGACTACAGTGACGACGACGACCACGACGACGCCTACGACGACGACGACGACGACGTCTGACAACGACGACAACGACGACTACGACGGCGACGGCGGCAACGGCGACAACGACGACGACCACCGACTGACGACGACGACAGCGACGCACGTCGACGACGACGTCTGATGACGACTACTCCGACGACGACAACGACTACATTGTCGACCGATGACGACCACGACTACGACGACGACGACGACGACGACGACGACGACGACGACGACGACGACGTTCTCGTCGGTCGTCTGACGTCGGTCGTCGGTCGCAACGGCGACCACCGCGGCGCTGCCTCGCGGAGGGTGCGGGAGCTGGAAGGTCGAGGGCCGAGGGGCCCCCGTGTCCCCGTCGGCCTCGTACGTCCGCCCCGTCGGCCTGTTCGGTCCTGCCGGCTTGCCTCTGATCTCTGCCCCTCGGCTCTTCCTCCGGTCGTGGAAGCAAGGGCAGCGACCTCTTCTATGATCGGCGGCGAGCGAGGGGGGGAAGTGAGAAGGAGAAGTGCTTCTCAGAAGGCGGTGGGACTTCTCAGAAGTCCTTGCGGCTTCTGAGAAGTTTTTTGTGTCTTCGGGGAAGGCTTAGAAAACTTCTCAGAAGTCTGGGGGACTTCTGAGCCTTCTGAGAAGGCCCGCCCCTTCTCACTTCCCCCCCTGGCTCGCCGCCTATATGAGGGGTCGAGGACTCGGCATGCCTTCCTCGACGGAAGGTGGCGCAGGGCCGGCCGAAGCCGGCGAGGGTAAAACGAGGGCGGCGCTGCTGGCGGAGGCCGGTGGAAGGAAGAACGCGCCCTCCAAGAGATGATCGGGGGCGGACAGGTCTCCTACCCTGACGCGTCGATTCAGGAATCGGCCGTTGTCGGTTTGCGAGAGGGCGTCGCGGCCGTCATTTTTGCGGGTCCAGGTCCGTGGGTTTCGGTCCCAGGCCGTTTTCACTACGGGGAGGTCCACGAAAGGGAGGGTTGTCCACCGCCCAGATGACACATTTGTTGGTTCCAGGGTGTCCGGAACCCGCCAACTGAGCGAGGACATTCGCGCGTCAGCTGCCTGCGTAAGGAGGCGCGCACGCGCCCCCGTCTCCGAGGTGGCGTGCCGCGCCGGCGGCCCGCGTAGGCCACTGCGTAAGGTCGCCATGCCATCTTGCGCAAGTAGGATCTAGCCAGGCCCCCGGGTAAGGGGAACCGGTTAGTGATTGGACCAAGAGGCCCCCAAACGGGGTGGTGACCACACCGTGCGGTGAGTCGGTGGAGAGTCGGGGTCACCGCACGGTTTTGGAACTCGGGTCGTGCTCCGAGGATGTCGCTCGGGCGACAGGGGCCTCCGGGGTCCCAAGACCGTGCGGTGACGGACCGTGCGGTGAGGTCTTGGGGAATTTCGAAGTCACCGCACGGTCTGTCACCGCACCGTTTCGGGTCTCCAAAAAGAAGCTCAGACAGTTTGCCAAGATCGCCCCACCAAGTTTGCCGTAGCGGGTGTTTCTGCAGGTGTCGGCAGCTCTGGTTAGTTGCATGGGGCAGGGCGGGCGTCCCTCGGTACACCCACGGTTGGGGCGTTTGTTAAGGAATGCGCCCAGGATGCTGCAGACCCTGCAGGGTTCCTTATCCGATGAGGGCGGCGATGATATCCATGGCCAAGCCTCGATTGGAGTTCCACCGGCCTCCAGACCCTGGATACCTTATCTAAGGTTTCCTTATCCGATGCCCCCACCGTGACTAAATCAGGTTCCGCTAAACGCTAAACCCATTCCCGCCAACGCCCGAGTAAGCCCCTTTCTTTTCGTTGCTCGTGCGAGCGACGCAAAAAAACGATATCGCTTGCGCCGACATGCGCGCGCAATTTGATCACATGAGGAATCACATGAGGAAGCGCGCAAGCGCCCCCGTAACCGACGTAGCGTGCCTCCCTCGCGGCCCGCGCAAGCCACCGCGTGAGCTCGCTGTGCCATCTTGCGTGAGAGGGCGAGCCAGATTATGTCCGTATCTACGTCATCTTGGAATTCTTGGCTTCCTTCCCCAGACACCCGGGGCGCAGTGGAGATTGAAAGTCATCTGACCCCCAGAGGCTAGATGCCCATCCATTGCCACTGCGCCTCGGCCTTCTGCCGCCCCTTCTTCCCAGCAAGTCCACGGCGCAGTGGGTATGGACCTACACCTTGCCGGCATATGCAATCTTACTTGTGACCATTCTCTTTCCGTTGCTCGTGCGCGGCGGCGAACGAGGGGGGAAGTGAGAAGGAGGAGGCCTTCTCAGAAGGCGGCGGGACTTCTCACAAGCCCTCGCGCCTTCTAAAAAGTGTTCGTTCTGTCTACGGGGGAGGCTCCGACAACTTCTCCGAAGAGCCCGGGGGACTTCCGAGCCCTCTGAGCAGGCCCGCCCCTTCTCACTTCCCCCCTCTGGGCTCGCCGCCGACAATGTGCCCCCCCCTCCTCCTCCTCCTCCTCCTCCTCCTCCTCCTCCTCCTCCTCCTCCTCCTCCTCCTCCTCCTCCTCCTGCTCCTCCTCCTCGAGCTCCTCCTCCTCCTCCTGCTCCTCCTCCTCGAGCTCCTCCTCCTCCTCCTCCTCCTCCTCCTCCTCCTCCTCCTCCTCCTCCTCCTCCTCCTCCTCCTCCTCCTCCTCCCCCTCCTCCCTCAGGCACCCCTCCGGCTCCTGAGGCGGCGGCGCCGCGGGGGGCAGGGGACCGCGCACCGGGGCCCGCGCGGCGCAGTGCGGGAGGGCGGCGACGCCCTCTCCGCTGCCTCGCTGCCCGCGCGGCACCCGGCACTCGCCGCGGCATGCCGACTTGGGCGCCGCGTAATGGGGGGGTCATAAATAGGGGGGTGGCGAGCGTGGTCCGAAAAGGTACCCAAACGGTACCTAAACGAGCCCCCCGGGGCTCGGGAGGGGCCCGAAAGGGGCACGAAAGGGGACCTTTTCTGACCCCGCCATTTGTGACCCCCCCATTAAGCCACGCCCAACCGACGGCGGCGAGGAGGACGGCGACGAGTCGAAGAGCAACACACTGCATGAGCGTGCAGTGCCGTCTTTTAGACATGCTCCGCGTGCGGGTCAGGTATTAAGCATGCAGGGATCTAGCATGAAGAATAACGATGAGTTCATGCATCACTTTGTTCAAGCATTGATCATGTATTAAACATCCTGTATGTGTAAAAATCCCCATGTATTAAAAATTGCCCTGTATACTGTCGACCCTCCGCGCGGACCGTGTCTAGAAGAAGAAAGCCGACAGAACCACAATCTGTCGATGGTCCGCGCGGATGTCTTGGGCCTGCGCTGGGCTCCCCTGGCGGCGCATCGGGCACCGCCCCTGGAGCGCTCCGCGCGCCGGGGAGGTGGGTCCAGCGCAGATCCAAGAAATCCGCGCGGAGCGTCGACAGTTTACGGTTATGTTGGTTGTCTTCTTCCAGACGAGGGCAACGGCGGTGGCAACGGCGACGGAGACGAGGGCGACGACGACGATGACGACGGTGGCGGCGAGGACGATGCTGGGTTTCGAGATTCCTGGCATCTTTGGCCCCCCGCCTGCCACCTCGCATCCTCGCATCCTCCTTCCTTCAGTCTCCGCGCGCCCCAACCCCCTGGAATTATCCACGTGGACTGGGCGCGGGTCAATCGCGGGCGGGTCACGGATGGGTCGCGGTGCGGGTCGCGGAGCGGGTCGCGGGTGGGTCGCAGGCAGTTCGCGGGGTGGGGCGCGGGCGGCTCACGGATGTATCCCGGGTGGGTCGCGCGGTGGTCACACGAGGAGGTCGGTTGTTGGTGGGTCGTGGGTGGGGCACGCGGCGACGACGGTAATGAAAATGGTCGCGATGTTGGCAACCCTCACCGCAGAACCCCGTCTCGGTCATGCACCCAGGGACTGTAATGGTTTTTTGTCCACCTCTTTCTAATCGGGGACTGTTTCTCTCGTGAATAAGCGGTGCCTGTCCTCGTCGACGCGATCTGGAGGCAAATATAGCTGCCTCCTACGCTATGACCAATGTTACCTTAAGTCGTCCTGGGGGCAAGCCTTGTTTTTCGTGGGCGCACAACGCCATCGGGAGCGCGCGCGCCACTGTGCCGTGTTGTGCGCGGGCACGAATTTCGCGCCCACGCCTCGCCCGTGCGCAGGCGACCGAGCTGCGCGCGCGGGCCGCCTCCCGCTTCCTTGCGCCTCGCGGCGTGCAGCCCCACGCGAAGGGCTCGCGCGCGCGAGGGCGGCGTCGGCATGCGTTGCGCCGCGCGCGGGCCCCAAGAGAAGTCCCGCGCGCACGGTGTGCCGGCTTTGCTCGCTTCTCGCATTGCGTTTTGTGCTGCGTTGCGCGCAGCCCCACGAGAAGGGCCCGCGCGTTCACGGCGTGTTTACTATGTTTTCTTCTCGCATTGTGTTGTTCGCTCATGCAGGCGCGCCGCGGGGATCCCGTCGGTGCGGATCGCGGCACGCCTCGGGGTTGCGTTGTTTGCAGGCCTTGTCGCTTGCATTCCGCTTGCGACGGCGCTCGCGTCCTGCCGTCGCTTGCGGCGCGCGCTTTCACACGTTCCCGTCCGTTTCTGGGGGTACTTGAATCCTTGGCGCCCCGCGCGTCAGCTCTGTCTGGCACCGCCAGGCTGGACGGCGCGGGGGTGCCGCACCCCTTGTCAAGTGGGTGCAGGCACCTTCGGGTGCGGGAGGCTGCAGGCGCAGCTGCGTTGAACTTTCGCTTCGTTTTGCCTGCGAGTGGCGCCCGATGCAGTCGCTAGACCTTGGGCTCAACCTGACTTCGCGTCGTCCTCGTTGTCGCCTTCATCATCGCCCCCTTTCAGACCTCCGCTTCGGCCACGCACCCAAGGACGGCACAATACCGATCGGCGCCCAGGTACGATTCTTGCCACGTCAGCGGCCGTGTTAACGGCCGTGGTAATTCGGCGCCGCCTTACGAATACGAATGCGATGCGCGTTCGTCGCGCCTTCCCAGGGCGACGCGCGCGCCGAGAGATCTTGAGGCAGAGGTTCGTGGGCGGGCGCTCCCTGGCCATGCCGCCCGGGAAGTGATGCAGTGCAAGGTGGTGATATGTTCAAGTCGGACGTGCGCCTCCAAGGAGGACGCATGGTACCAGGACGTGCCCGTGCGTGCCGGCAGCGGTGGCAGATCTTTGATATGTACCCGCTGGTCGTGCCGAGAGTGAGGGGAAGGTGCGAATTTGCTCGAGCCGAACTCTGTGCGCACACGCGGCACAATTCTGCACGCGTGCTCGCTTTTCGGTGACGAGCCCACGGGGGCAGTGAGAAAGGGCGGGCCTGCTCAGAGTGCTCGGACCGCTTCCTTCGTTTTGAGAAGTTGTCTGAGCCTTTCTCGAAGACGGGGAAGACTTCTCAGATGGCCGGAGCGCTACTGAGACGCTCCGCCGCCTTCTGAGAGATCCTTCCCGTTTTCGCTGTTTCTCCCTCTCTCGCCGCCGAGATCCACAGCGCACGCCAGCGCGGAGAACGCACGCCCCACAAGTACGTTTTGCCCACGTTTGGGTGCCCGTGCGAGGCGTCCCAGAAGAGGGCCTCGCCTTCCGGGCTCGGAGGCGGTGCCATCTTCTTCTCCGGCGGAGGGCGGTTGGAAGGCGGCGGCAGCAGCACGAGGCCGCTGCCGCCGGCGGCAGCCAGCGGAGGCAGAGTCCGGTTTTTTCCAGAAGGCGGCGGGGCTTGGTGGAGCAAGGTTCGGACGTGTGCATTTTTTTCTCGGCGAGAACCATCGAGGACCATCCTGGACCATCGAGCAACAAAAAACACGCACGAGGTCGACCAATGCACGGGACATGGACGTCCGAGCGACGGCAAGTTGGTGGAGCAGGGCCCCCGGAGGCCGCCGTGTGCCGGCCTCGCGCGTGCAGGCGGCGAGCCGTGCCCGCAGCGGGCACCCGCTGCCAGCCTGGATCCGACCCCTATCCCTATGTTGGGCATCGCCTCGTCACGATGGCGATCTTAGGGGTTCCTTCAGTCTCTGGGGGTGCATCCCTGAGATTGTCATCGCCTCTGGGCGTGTCAATCTTAGGGATGGGGATACGTTCCTCGTGCGTCGGTCCGCCCTTCGTCGCTGCGGTGAACCCGCAGAGTAAGGATGAGCAACTTTCCAAGCATCCCCTTGCATCCTTCGAAGAAGAAAAGGCCACGAACATAAACTTAAGTCGGGCGTGTCCCCCGACAGGGGGTCTTCGACGAAAAACAAACAAATACACCGAAGATAGTCAAAAAATTGTCCAAAAATAGTCTGGGGATTATTTTTTGAGTATTTGTTTTGCCTTTTTGGGGCATTTTTGCGGTACTTCTTATTTTGTCTTCGAAAATCCCCCTGTAGGGGGACAGGCCCGACTTAAACATAAGCTTGTGGCGCTCCGCGCGGATTCCTTGGATCCGCTCCAGGCTCCCCCGGCGGCCCCGTATTGGCGCCGCCCCCGGCGCACTCCGCGCGCCAGGGAGGGGGGCCCCAGCGCAGCTCCAAGAGATCTGCGCGGAGCGCCAACAGTTTATGTTTATGGCGTGTACTCTTCTTCGAACTACGGTTATGTCGGGCCTGTCCCCCTACAGGGGGATTTTCCACGAAAAAAAAAACATACCCCCAAAATAACCCAAAAAGGTAGAAAAATATTCCAAAAATAGTCCCCAGACTATTTTTTGACTATGTTTTACTTTTAGTGTGTGTGTGTGTGGATATGTTTCATTTTTCGTCGAAAATCCCCCTGTAGGGGGACAGGCCCGACTTAAAACCTACGGTAAACCAGCGTAGTAAGGATGAGGAACTTTCCAAGGTGGCCCTTGCATCCTTCCCTTTCGGCCCATCCTTGGCCGCTTCCGCTGGCCGCGCCCCGCTCGCAGAGGGTTGGCATGGCCTTCCAGGGCCCTTGCACCCTTGCCGCGCCTTCCTTCTCAGACGGATGGGCTGCACATACATAGTCAAGAAGCTGAGCCGCGGACCCGTTTTGGCTCGGAGGGGGCTCTCTTTCCCTCGGGGTCGTCCCGTGGTTGTTCCGCTCGCCCTCCTCGAACACCTAAAGGCCCCCCGTGGCCACGGGAGGGGCGCCGTGCCTCACATGTGTGGCGTGTTGCCGACTGCAGCGCCTCGGCGTGCCCGGAGTGGCTCAGCGATCGAGGAGCCGCCCAAGCTCAGGAGGGGAAAAAACACACACAAACACAATTCATCGTCGATCCCCCAGAAAAGATGGGAAAACATGGGAAGCGGGGGGGAAGACAAAGATCCAGAAACTATGGGGAAATATGGGGGATAATTTTATGTGTGTGTATTTATTGGAGAGGCCTGACGGCCAGTGCCGCCGACCCTGATCGAAAGGGCTAGGAGTGGAGGGAGGAAGCGGATGATTAGGAGGAGGAGGAGGAGGAGGATCATTTTGTTTGTGTGTATTTATTTGTGTGTCCTGGGGCCCCTTCACCTTGAAGCGTCCCGGGGAGAACGGCCCGCGCGGAGTCAGAAAGACCCGAGCGCCGGGATCGTCGCGTCGTCGTCGTCGTCGTCGTCGTCGTCGTTGTCGTCGTCGTCGTCGTCGTCGTCGTCGACGCGTCGACGGTGCGAAGACCAACTTGGCCTCTTTTCGATTGTCGCGTAGACGACGCCCAGGTGTCTCGTGCAGCCCTGTATCTCGGGGGCGGAAAAGAGGGGGGTGATGACAAGTGACTAGGGGGGGTGAATATCATGGCGGGGGCCATGATTTTTCCTCAGATTTCATGGCGCCTCTTCTTATTTCATTACGTCCCAGGCCCCCCCGCTGGGCCGCGCACATGCCGCCGGTCATGATTTGTACCCCCCCTCTTGGACACCCCCCTCTTGGCCGCTCCCGAGTATCGGCCAAGACACCCGCGGGGCCCGAACCGAACCGAACCGTCGTCGTCATGTCGTCGCGACACGGGCGCTGGGCGCCACGCCCACGCGCGCGCCTTGCCCCGAGCAGGCTGGGCTCGGAGAGCTGCCTGCGAGGCATTCCCTGCTCTCGCAGGCGATCTATCGTCGGCGTCACCCCAATCTACTAGCGCCATGTTTGCGTCGCCCCCCCCCCCCACCCACACGGGCGACGTGCGCACCAGGAGATCTTATAGTATACGCTCAGTGGCGGGCGTTTTTATGGCCGCGCCGCTAGGGAAACGATCTACTACAAGATGTGGGTATACTATATGTTCAGGTCGGACGCGAGCCTCCGAGGAAGGAAAAATGGTACTAGTATGTCTCTGTGCGTCCCATATCGACCCCAGTCCCCGAGTCCAGCCCGAAAGGTTCGTCCGCTCAGATCCAGGCCTCCCAGATGGGTCCGAGTGAGAGGTATTCGGAGGATCACGCCGCATCGCCGATGCATCGGCGACGAGGCTCGATGCGGATCCTGATTTTTGTCCACCAGCGTCGCCGATGCATCGCCGACGTCGCCAGAGCACCGGTGGTGCATCGCCGATACATCGGTGAGGCGGGGCGATCCTCTTACCCCATCTATTCGGACCCTGCCTAGGTTGCCTCTATCAGAGAAGGGGGGAACCTCGTGAATACACCCCAGGGGAGGCCCTTCGCAGGCACATCGAGGGTAGAAGAACCCAGAAAATTTGGGAAATATGGGGGATCCTGGGATTTGTGTGTATTCACTTGTGTGTGCCTGGGCCCCTTCGATTTGGGCCTTTCGGCAACCCCACAGAGTCTGGGGTTGGGGTCGCCGTGTACCCCCCATGAGGAAAATCCTGGAGGCCTTGCTCGGTGCGCAGTCGTTGTATCATCTGGTCCACACATCCGCCCCGTCAGATCTGGGTCCACGTCCGCGCGGCAATGCTCCGACGTCAGTCCGGCCTGGATCCGACAGGAACCCGACCGGTAAGTCTGATGTGGATCCGACGCAAATTCATTGAGTTCCAAGTTGCCGCGGGATGCCTCCAGGATTTTACTTTGAACCCCTCGGGAGGGGAAGGAGGAGGAGGAGGAGCAGGAGGAGGAGGAGGAGGAGGAGGAGGAGGAGGAGGAGGAGAGGAGGAGGAAGACGAGGAGCAGGAGAAGGAGGACGTGGAGGAGGAGGAGGAGGAGGAGGAGGAGGAGGAGGAGGAGAAGTAGTAGGAGGAGGAGGAGGTGCCTAGTGGGGGTGGTGCCGGGGGCCGTGTCTCAGGGTGACATCTCGAGGCACCTCGTAACGGCGGCGCAGATGAGTCGCCTGGGGCGAGTCTGTGCTGCTATTCAGGTTGTGAGGTCTGGCTGCATGTGAACTCATGCAGGCACCTTGAGCACCTTCCTTCGGGTTGTGTCGTCCAGGTCTTTTCTGTCCCGGCAGAAATGGAGGACGAGGAGGAGGAGAAGGAGGAGGGAGGGGAGGAGGAGGAGGAGGGAGAGGAGGAGGCGATGGAGGAGGCGGAGGAGGAGAAGGAGGAGGAGCGGGAGAAGAGGGAGAGGAGGAGGAGGGGGAAGGAGGTGGAGGGGGGAGGATGAAAAATTTTTTTGTGAGGCGGAGGAGCCGGAGGACGATGAGGAATTTCCCCGGTCGCGCAGGGCGCGCCCTCGCAGGCAGAGAAGGAGTAGGCGGAGGGGTAACGGGAGGAGGAGGATGAGAGGTATTTGGAGGAGGAGGAGGAGGAACGAACGACGACGGACGAAGGAGAACCGTAAAAGGAAGGACGAAGGAGGGGGAGGATGAGGAGGAGGACGAAGGAGGAGGAGGAGGAGGAGGGAGGAGGAGGAGTAAGGAGGGAGGAGGAGGAGGAGGATGGGAGGGGGAGGGGGAGGAGGAGGGAGGCAGGCGGTAGGAGGAGAGGAGGAGGGCGGGGATGAAGAGGAGAGGAGGAGAGGAGGATAGGGAGGAGGAGGAGGAGGTTGGAGGGGGAAGGGGGGGATGGGTAGGGGGGAGGGGGGAGGGGGACAAGCTAGGTGCGCTCGCGTCATATCTGACGTCCTACCCCTCCCTCCCATCCCTTACCATGGCGCTGATTTTCTCTATCCGCGGACGCGTGTCGTAGCGGACCTGTGGCTCCGCGCGCGCGTGCGTAACTAGTGGGTGGTGGTGCTCGTGCGTGCGTGCGTGCGTGTGTGCGTGGTTGTGGTGGTGGTGGTGGTGGTGGTGGTGGTGGTGGTGGTGGTGGTGGTGGTGCTGGTGGTGGCGGTGCGGCGCGGTGGTGGCGGGCGGATGGGCGCGCGAGAAAAAAGGACCGCGCTGGGGCGAGAACGCCATCCTGAACGACGGAGGCCAAACACCGATCCGAAAATGAGGCCCACGCTGCAGCGGGAGCACGATTCGGAACGATTCGGGAGCAGAAATGAGGCCGGCGCCTCAACGAGAGCAGCATTTTGGGAAACAAATGACGCCGGCGCCTCAGCGAAGGTCGTTTCCCGGGATTTCCCGGGAATCCTGTGTTTAAAAAAACAGCACGCGGAGGGTGCGCGGCTATCACCCGGACGCCATCAGGGGAAGAGGGAGAGTATATTCATATTGAATAATTGTGGAGGAGGGGGAGGGGGAGGAGGAGGAGGAGGAGGAGGAGGAGGAGCCCCCCTAACTCCCCGGGCGCGCCCGCGCAGCAGATGGCTTCCCCCCCCTCTGGGGCGCGCGGCCGCGCTGCTGGGCCCGCTCGCAACTCGACCTCTGCGCGGCGGCGGCCGGGCGGGCGCCCGGCCCCGCGGCCCTCGGAAAGAGCCGCGCGCCTTTCCTGTTCGGAGGCCATTTTTGCTGGTAGGCTCTGGCAGGTTTGCGCCTAGGCCTCCCCTAGGGGGAGGAGAAGATGGGGCCCTCCGTCTCCCTCCTTTGTCCTCCTCCTCCGTCTCCGTCCTCCTTCCCCTCCTCCTCCTCCTCCTCCTCCTCCTCGTCCTCCTCCTCCTCCTCCTCCTCCTCCTCCTCCTCCTCCTCCGTCTCCGTCCTCCTTCCCTCTCCTCCTCCTCCTCCTCCTCCTCCTTCGGCCTCCTCCTCCTCCCCCCTCCCCTCCCCCTTCCTCCCTCCCCTCTACCTCCTCTCCTCCTTCTCCTCCTCCTTCGTCTCCTCCTCCTCCTTCTCCTCCTCCTCTCCATCCTTCGTCCTCCTTCGTCTCGTCGTCCTCCTCCTCCTCCTCCAAAACCTCCTCCTCCTCCTCCTTCTCTCCCCCTCCCTCTTCCCCCCTCCCCCTCCTCCTCCTTCTCCTCCTCCTCCTCCTCTCTCCCTCCTTCATCCTCCTCCTCCTCCTCCTCCTCCGCCTCCTCCTCACTCCGTTGTCGTCGTCCGTCGTCGTCGCGGTCGTCGTCGTCGTCGTCGTCGTCGTCGTCGTCGTCTTCGCGTCGTCGTCGTCGTCGTCGGTCTCGTGTCCTCCTCCTCCTCCTCCTCCTCCTCCTCCTCCTCCTCCTCCTCCTCCTCCTCGTGCCCAGGCCTCCCTCGCGCCGAGGGGCGGGCCAGGGCGGCGGTCGCTTTCGCGGCGTTACCAGCCTTCGGGGGGCGAGGGCAGGGCAAGAGAGAGGCTGGGAGGGGAGGAGCAACGAGAGCAGCGAGGGCGCCTTCGATGGTGCAAAGTTGTTCGCGCCTCGCGGTTCGGCTCGGGCCCCTCCTCATCCTCCTCGCCTCGCCTGGGGGGCGGCGCGAGAGCGCGAAACTGTTCGCGCTTCGCGCAGCGCGAAGCGCGGAGCCAGGCGCCCTAGGAGAAGGGGGGTGGGTGGGAGGAGGACGCGCGAGCAGCCCCCTCATCAGAAGGGATCCGGGACACGTGCCCAACACAGGAGGTTTGGGAGAACCGACCCAGAAGGAAGCATGGGAGATCCCAGGGAGAGTCGGCCACGCGCAGAGGGGTGTGTGGGGAGGGGGGCAGGCTCCTTAGAGCCCCCGCGTCTTAGAAGGTGCGGGCCTCGTCTGCAGACGTGAGGCCGGCGACTTGTGAAGAAGCAGCCTCTCCCACTGAGAAACCTTCCCCCCTCCCCCTGAACCCCCCGTCTGCGCGCCGCCAAGAGAGGCGGCGAGAGCCGGGGCCCGTTCCTCTCGCAGGGCCCGTGGCCCGCTTGGCTCGAGCAGCCTGCGCTCCGAGACCGCAGCTGGCTCACGGAGCATAGCCGGCCGAGCTCGGGGCACGCCCCGAGCGCGCCGCTCATTTTGTTTTTGTCTGGCTCGAAGAAGAAGGGACGGCATAAACATCAATTTTTGGCGCTGCGCGCGGATTTCTTGCATCTGCGCTGGGCCCCCCGGGTGGCGCCTTCGGCGCCGCACCTGGCGCGCTCCGCGCGCCAGGCGGGGGGGTCCAGCGCAGATCTAAGAAATCAGCGCGGAGTGCCAACAGTTTTTGTGTCTGCCGTTTTGTCATACGCCGTCTCTTACCACCCGCTGGTGTCCTCGGCCTGCTGCAGGATCCATGGATCGGCAGTTTGACGAGGTGGAGGCTGTCGAGGCCATCACAGGCGTGCCGGTTGAGTGGTGCACACCGCAATCGGATATCGAGGCCCTCCGAGCAGGATCATTCGACGGCCGCCACCAGCCTCTGTTAGAGTTTATTGTGTCTGTTCCTATCGGTGAGGGCGACTGTGAACCATGCAGGCTGCAAGTCAAGCTGCCGTCCGGTTATCCCGCAGACACGATGCTGACAGTCGTGTCGTGCACCTGGCAAGCTTTACGAACAAGAGCCCTCAGCGACGCCCTGATGGCTTCCGTGTCCGAATTCGTTGCTTCGTCGAGTATTGGCGAGGAGATCTTATTTGACGTCGTGCAGCACGTCACCGACGCGGCCCAAGGGTTCTTGGACAAGCAGACTGCGGCCGATGACGAGAGGGTCGCGCAGGCGGCAGCGGGCCGAAGATCAGCCAAGCCAGTCGGGGCGCCGTGTCGGCAGTGGCTCTGGTGCGACCACCTGCTGTTCGGGAAGCAGCACGCCAAGGAGCGAGAGCTGGTGGCGATCCTGCAGGCGGCGCCGCTCTCGGGGAGGGTGTGGTTCGGCAAGCCCGGCATCGTTGTCCTCGAGGGCGACGCGAGCGAGATCGACGCCGCCGTCCGCGAGTGTGGTCGGCGCGCTGGCAAAAGCTTGAAAGTCAGGAAGAGCCAGGCGCTGGCGGCTGGCTCGCCCGCTCCAGGGCGCGACGGCAGCCCAGCTGGCACCCAGACGCAGCAGCAGCCGTGGGCACACTTCCCGGCGAAGGTGGACGTGTGCCACGCTGCGGGCGGAGCCGACTCCGCCGCGCTCGACACGGCCGCTCTGCAAGCAGAGCTGTCGTCCCTGGGCCTGGAGGACAAGTTCCGGCTGATCATCGGCCTGGACGAGGGCGGCGCAGGCGCGCCAGGCTAGAGACGATCGGGGGCATCTCCTATCCCATCGGCCACAAAAATGATGTCTCCTTCGACGCGTTCCGAGCATTCTCTTTGGGTGGAGGGCACAGGGTGAAATCTGAAATGCCGTTTCGATGGATTCTCGAGGCTTGAATCTGCAAAGGGTGAATCACAAGACGGATCGGTTTTCGAGGTGCAGAAGTCTCTATGGATTTCACCCTGAGCCCTCCACCCTAAGAAAATGCTCAGCCTTCGCCCTCCCGTCCTCCCGCGCCCCTCGTGTGCGTCCTCGGTGGGCCTGCTCGGCCAGGGGGGCGTTGCTGCCTGCAGGCGCCGCCCCGCGTCGAGGAGGGGTGGCCGCGCTCCCCGCGCGCCGACGGCTCCCCTCCGCCCCGCACGAGGGCGCAGAGCGCTCCGTCTGGGAGCCGGTTCCGCTCCCTTGGCCCGCCAAATATCGAAGAAGAAAACGCGGCATGAACAGAAATGTTCGGCGCTCCGCGCCAGAGGCGCCGCCGTTGGGGGGCCCAGCGCAGATCGAAGAAGTCCGCGCGGAGCGCTAACCGTTTGTGCTTGTGCCACGTCTCCCACCCACGTCCTCGCAGGACCCACCCGACGTACAGTGGAGACCCATGCCGAGAAACACCTTTCTTGCCTCCAGGGTGCCCTGGGTTTCTTGGGCTTCGATGGTGTTGCGATGGAAAAGTACGAACTTTCCCCACGCCAGAAATCAATGGGCGTCCTGGGGTCGGCTCTCTTGTGGAAGGTTTCTTGTGGACTTTGCATCCACCGTGATCAGGTTCATCACAGCCCTCCCCTCCGCTCCGCGGCCCACACGGCGAGCCGGGAACGGGGACGGCCCCGAGGAGTAGCGGAGGGCAGTCCAATGTTCAAGCAGTGGCGAAGCGTCCCGGCTTGCCTATAGGCCCACCAAAGAATGTTCCAAGATCTTTTTGTGGTCTGCACGAAATGTCCTTAGAACAGTTCTGGCTGGGGCTGTCTTGTTTCAGCACATCGGGCTTATGTTCTAAGAACATTGTTTTTGTTCTTAGAACATTTCGGCGTTCTAAGGACCCTTCGTGGTAGGCCGATAGGAATGCTGGGACGGTCGGTCCTGCTCAAAGTTTGAGCAACGTCTGCTCAGGTGCGCTGCCCCAGGGGCTGGCCCAGAGGTGGGGCCGGGGATCGCGCCAGGTGCTCGCCATAGGTTGCCGTACAGGTTGTGCCCTGGTTGTGCCCTGAGTCGCGCCATGGCTCGTGCCGCGGGTCTCGCTTCCTGTTGCGTCGGTGGTTGCGCCTGATTGCCCCCGGCGGTTGCGCCAGAGGTAGCGGCATCAATTGCGCTGTCGTGTGCGAAGGGGTCTGCGCAGTGGGTTGCGCCACAAGTTGCGCCAAGCGTGGCGCTATGTCTTGCCCTGCTGGCTTCGCCACGGGATGTGCGCTGCGCCACGGGTTGCGTTGCGCCATGGGCTGCCCCTCGGGTTGCGCCACCCGTTGAACCACAGCCTGCGCGTGCCGTCGCCTGCGCCATGGGCTGCGCCTCAGGCTGTGCCCGGCCGCCGCCGAAGCTGGAAGTCGCCAGAGCCCCTGACTGCGCCAGACCCAATCTGCCCGTGGTCGCCACAGTGAAGCTGTGCGCACGGGCGCGACAAGCCTCGCAGCCCGTCGGCCGGGCCCCCTCCCCATAGCACCGGCTCCGGCGCTGCGCCCCCGCCCCGCGCGGCCGGGGCCGAAGAAGCCCCGAGAGCTTGGCATCGCTCGGACGTGTGCATTTTTCCTCCGGCGAGGGCCCTCGAGGAGCATCCTTTTGATCATTTGGCGAAAAAGCCACGCACGAAACCGGAAAAAAAACACAGGGAAGGGACGTCCGAGCGATGGCGAGAGAGAGGGGGGGTCTGCGCGACGCTGCCGACCGGAGGCCGCCGCACGCGACAGCGTGCCCACGCGGCAGGTTGGCGCCGTGTGGCGGCCGGCGGCGACCCCGCCGCCGGCGGTCGGCATCGAAGGACGCCGGCGATCCAGAAACAGCCGATCGTCGGGAGCCTTCTGGGATGACCGTGGGGGGTTCTAAGTGGATAGGGGGGTTACAAGTGGACGCTAAGGTGGGTTATATCTGGCCAACCTGGCTTATAAGTGGGCTACAAGTGCCTTAAGTAGCTTAGAGGGGTCAACGATCCGGGATAAGTGGGCCCCGCCCACTTAGCCGAGTTATCAAAGCCCCCTAAGCCACACGGGGGAATTTGTAACCCACTTCTAAGCCAGGTTGAGCCAGGTACAACCCACCTTGGCATCCACGCGTAACCCCCCTATCCACTTAGAACCCCCCACGGTCATCCCAGTTGAGACGGGGTCAATGCAAACGGGGGTCAGCCAGGGCACCGGATCCTGCAGGATCCTGCGAAGACCCCCTCTGGCTGACCCGGGTCAGCGAGCCGCTCGCGGCCGCGAGGCGGCCGCGCGTATGGGCTGACACGGGTTTCCGAAGATCTGC